ATATATATATATATATATAATTCTTCAATTAGAATTACTTCGATAACTAATTTGACATTTAATGCAAATCTTTATTAACATTTAATGTAAATTTTTATTTTGCAAATTATCAAGCAATTCTAGTTGGAAACAATGCTAAAAGCACCTAATGAAATTAGGCGTTAGTTTTATCCTTAAATTAATCAAAATAAAGTTGAGATTTTTTATGATACATTAAATTAAGCTAGGTTTGTTTATTTTTTAAGGAGAGATGTTTGTATTCAACACCGTACACAATCTTAAATAAAATTGTCTACAAAACGATACTTATTAAAAGTAAAATAAAAAGAAGTAAAAAGCATAAAGTAAAACTCTTAATACTAAAAAGTATATTTCATTTGGCTGAATAAAGTGTAAAACAAATAATTGTTTAGGCAAGTGAAGTGTTAAAAAGATATTTGATGTAATTTCGATCATCTTTTGAAAGGCAGTAAAAAAATATGGCTGCAGTTAGTAGTGACCAAAAATAAAGTTGAAGATTTGTAATGTGGAATATGGCTGCACGTGATTCATGAGATGTTGGGATGATGACGGAAGAGAAGGACAAGGGATAGTAACTTGCTTCTGATTTGGCAAATGGGCAAGAAAATGCACTCTACAAGGTTCATAAGGACATCTTGGAAAGGAAAATGACTAAGCATACTTGTTTCTTCCAATAACTAAGTCCAAATTTATACCAACCACACATCTTTTGCATTTTCTAAGATATAGCACTCTACAACCCCTTTTATTTTTTCTCCACCCTAGTCTGCCACATCTTATTCACAACCTAAATTATAACCATGGCCTCTCTCCTTGAATTTATTTTTCTCTTGTGCAATGGTTGTAATTATAATGTACCCTGAAGCAACAGACATTTAAAGCAAACAATCAGCTAAGAGACAGAAAAACACCATATCAAGAACCATGAGAAATCAAGGAAATTTAAGGAAACTCATTTTCATTGTGAATGTTCTCTTGGGATAAGTGGGGGCCATGAGACTCAACCAACATGTTCTCTTGGTTGGAATTTGGATCATGATAATAGCACAGCTCATGAAACAACATTGGATGTGATGTAATTCAAATGGAGATGATCACACAGAAATTCACACTGCTCCAACCTCAATTCTTTGGGGTGACATACTGCACAAAACGATTAGCAGTCAGGCTCAAACTATTAACTAAAAATATACGACAAACAAAAGCACATACTTCAAATAGGAAGATTCAAACAATGTACATTCTTGTATCTTTCCTCGTGTACCTCAACTCCAAGACTTTAATTTCAATAATGATGGTAAAATATGTATTCACCAAAATAAGTATTATATTATCTGCTTTGTAGCATACTAGCATTGGTCCATGGTCTATAACTTTGCATCGGATTCAGACACGTTGAGTTAAATTGTCATTAAGATATGTGATAGATTTGACAATGACAAAACATGTACAACTCATAAGTGAGAACCTGTGCTCAGACTAGATATATCCTGTGCCTGTTGCATATAGTCATGTACTTGCAGAGAATTACAATCACAATCAATTGGATGAAATCCTCATCGTAATGCACAAATGAAATTCAGTTGAACTCTTTCATTCATGTCATGATACACTTAATTTCATAATTGGAATACTCCAAAACGGAGGTTCACAACAAATTCGTTAGGAGAAGCAGGTTTACATAGAAAATGGATGGTCAAGAACATTCATTAGGTACAACATGATGAGATAGTGATGCTACACACTTATGCATGTATCATCTCACATTTGCACAGTAGATTTTCTTCATCCAAACTGTGGTACAGTACAACATAGTTCTTTCTATATTGGTTCAGAAATTTAGGAAACGATATCCTCAATAATAATACATATTACTTTTCTTTTACCTTTTCTCAATGTTCTTCCAAACTGTGGTAAACACTAGAAAGTTGAAACTTCGAAAGGGACAGAGTCTTTCTGTGCCTTTTCTCTTAATGGAGACTATTGCATTGCAGCCACAGAAAATTTTGGATAATAGATATCCAAACAACACGTTTTTCAATATATTCTTTAGAATACTTGTTATTTACTAAAATTTGTGTAGAATTTACTAAATATGCGAGTTTTAGTTCCTATTTAGTGAAACACATGAATTTCAACGATTAATAAAATAATATATTAGGAGTGAATATGTTGCTATGAAGGGGGAAAACATTATATTATGCAATTAACTAATAAAGACAAAATACAGCAAAGATGAATATTTCAAGTTAGAGATATCACGACATGCCCAAGGTACAACACTGTTAAAGTACATTGGCTTATCACAGATAAGAATCCATATGACAATATATTCGTGTCTAAGACGTAAATGCTACTCTTCATATCTTCAATCATACGCTTACATTAATGTGATGCGTACCCATACACGCAGTTTATATTGAAGTAATTTTAAAAAGAATTATACTAAACTTTACACTCACACCAAAAAAGTACTAACAACATACTAACACATTTCTTCTTAATACACTCTTATTGGTTACAATTTTTTGAAAATTATAAAATCATTAAAGTTATTAAATAGAATATACGACTCACTAACTTTCATATTTTTTAATAAATTCCGATCAATTAGAGGGAATATGATAAAATGAATGTGTCAGAATGTGTTTATGCTATTCCTCATAGTTGGAACAAAAGCCATTATCAGAAATTGTCATCTCATATATCACTAAGTTGATAACATGCTGTGAGCACCTTTAAAGGAGGTGCTCGAATATAATGGGTTTAATAGGAACTAATACTCAAGGAAATTCTAGGAACATAAAATATCCAAAAATCCATATTAAACTTCAACGGCTGAATTGCACTGCACTTGCTTGTATTGCAACCTTAACAAAATATTTCAAGTCATAATTTCAATGATACTAGTAACCATCTCACGCATTGCACATTAAAAAAAATTAAAAAAAAATGTATAATTTAAAAGGGAAGGCCTTTAAAATTGACCTGAAAAAAGAAGCAGGAACACGCATATAACTAAAAAGAGAAATCAGCTTTGAAATCATTTCAAAAGAGGTTGAGGGAGAGAATAAAAAATAAGAAAATTACGCTATCCCAGACAGAAGTACTCTAATTTATAAGTAGGGGTAGGCTGATAATCTTAACAATTTCATCTACAGCAATTATACTATGAGAATGAATTTCCCCGTCACGCCGAACACTTCTTTCTTTCCCCTCTCGTCCACTATGCACATTACATTAAGATAGGACAAAACTAGACATTCATGAGGCAAACTTTGCTGGGCAGAGGTTCCAACCATTCAGATTAGAACGACACTTGGATTTTAGTGCCATGAATGGAGTCTCAAGACTCATCTCCTACCAGGGTTTATGCCTCGGGCAGCTTCGTATCCACCACCACCGCCACTACGAGCAGGTGGTGTTGTGGATCCATAAGGCATAGCGTTCATTGGCGGAGCATGTCCATGAGGACCAGCTACCCCTCTTGACTGTGCATCATATCCACCTGCCCTCGATGCATCATAAACAGGTCCTCTTTGGACATCATAACCCTGGCCCCTCTGAGGATCATAGCCGGTTCTTTGAGCATCAAAAATTGGCCCTCTCTTGGAATCATAAGCAGGTCCTCTAAATGAATCGTAACCAGTCAACCTTTGTGTATCATAAGTAACACCCCTCTGAGCATCATAAGTAGGCCCTGCAGATGCACCGTAACCAGGCCCTCTGGGAGCATCATAACCAGTCCCTGCAGCAGCTGGACCAGACTGAGCTCCAGCAGTAGGAAGTGAAGCACCACTGCCACTGCCACCACCAGCAGCAGGAAGGGGACCACGTCCCTGCTAAACAAAATGTAGAATGGAACATTATTTACAAATCCAGATGGAAGATAAGGTAAATTGGGTAGATCAAACTTGGACAAATTATATGAACTAATAAACAGAATCAACCCTAGACCGTGTGGCCTTTCCAATAGGTAAATCTAACAATATCAGCCATGTGTATATTTTGCACTGTTTAGAATAGATATAATAAATTAACAGTTGAACACAAAGCATCTATTAATATTACGCTTAATCACTCCAACTTTCTCCGCATAGAAGTAATAGTTCTCCAATTTGTTATCATGAAATAAAGTAGCACGTAGCAGACATGACAATGAGCATAATAATCCTATAGATTTTGAAATTCTTTATTATGGTAACCAAAACTACTATCTATGTTAATTGGTATCATCAGAATGGTGATTATCGAAGATTAACAAGTAACAATATTGTAGAGAAATGAGATCAAAGTCGGTTGAAGTCAGGTTCTTCATATTATAGGAGAAAAAAGTAAGCTGAAAGCCTGAAACTACTGCTAGACATTTAATTAATCAAAAAATTCATAAGATAGTACAATAATCCAGCAACACATCATTGCTTCTGGACACCAGAGGCAGATAATCATCCATTTGCAAACATTATAGATATTTGCTATAATTAAGAATAAAGAATTGATAAAAATATATACAAACACATTGAAAAAGATTCAGATTAACAAAAAAAAATCAGTCATTACTACATTTGGTCCTTTATATACAAGTGAGAACAATTTTTTTGTCCTAATTATAAGAAACACAGACTCACTTTTAAATGTACTTCCTCAGTCCTATAATAAGTATTGTCTTAAGTTGTTTTACATGGGCATATAAAAATTTAATAAATAGAGAATAGAGAATAGTAATTTAACAAAATTAACCTCACTAGTAATCTTCCTTGCTAGAAACAATGCAATACAATTAACAATTTCTTGAAGAATATTATTAAGGGTATAAATAAAAAAGAGATAATTAATACTACATTGAAAAACTAAAATGACACTTATTTGAGAACTTATTTTTTCTCTTACACAACACTTATTATGGGACAGAAGAGTACTAATTATGTATTAATTGTTAATTTCCTTTTCTATGCTTAATTTATTGTGAAGTCTATTAATAAGACATGTACTCATTTCCCATGAAAATGAATGCTTTCATTAGGTTATTACAATATAAATCATACTCATTGATTGAAAAATTATCCCTTGAATTATGAGAAATGTGACAAAATATAATCACCACTTAAATCATTTAATTCTACAGGTATTACTAGAAATAAAATTTAAATTTATGATATCATAAATTAACTAATTTAACTATTTTCATTGGTTTAGATGAATTATGTATTTGTTTCTTATATATAGAACTAGAGGTAATAATTATGAATCATATTAGACAATGAACTAGAATGCTGCACTCCCACAATAAACCCAACACAACGTAACACAGGGAGGTGTCACACACCTGCATAACAGAATAACCATCTTCATATGCATTTTGTCCCACAGGAAGACCAGAAGCCTCATTCTCATTAGTTCCAGAGGTGCCACCATATGGCCCACCTGAATTTTATTGCCATTGATCAATCCAGAAATCATGAAAAATTGAGGACCAAGGGCTCTAACACAGAAAACAGGTATGAAAGGAGATACATACTACTTCTCCGATCCACATTAGCGGTGTTCGTAAGCTCTGCTCGAAGTTTTTCCACTTCCCTACTCATAGAAACAAAATTCTTTTCCATCACCTGAAGTGACTCAAGGTGATCATTGTATAACTTTTTTTCATAGTCAAAAGTGGCCCTGCATGACCAGAACAACAGATTGTCAGGGGCACTTAACATGGTAGTCTGACACTATGCTACATGCTGTAAGGAGAGAAAGTGAGAACAGCAATCAATGGGTTGGGTTCAGGGTTTCTTGCATGAATTATGGGTGCAAGTAGGTGGATTGAATGTTCACTGAGTGCATCTAAGTTAAGAATCAACTGGAAGTGATAAATTGGTCTAAACTCTAAAGGGTCATATAAGTGGTTGTTGGGATGCCAAATAGAATGCCATGAGTGGAAGATTCCCCTATTAACCATAACAGGAACCTATAGCCATCAGACCTGTTTCCAACTTGTAGGCATATTGCCTACCACATGCTGACTACCCTAGTTAAACCAAGCCTGACTAAAAAGGGTAGGTAGTATCTCTTTGGCTGAGTAACATGCCCTGGCTAGTAGATTGCTTGGCAACTCCATGGCTGTTCCCATTGAAGATACTCTCGTGAATTGGAATTAAAAAGCCAAGGAAATGACCCTGGGATTCAAATTGCCAAAGGAAATCCATGAAAAACACTAGCAACAGTTCTAAACAAAATGACCATGGCCTCAGTTCATAATATACAGATTCCAACAATGGAAATCATGCAAGCAGATTCTGTACCCATGAAATTAGGATTCTCAGTTAAACAATTTCTAGGATAAATTCAAGCTAAATAAATCTAAGATATTAACATCAATTCTTAATAATCCAAAGTAATCAGTTCTGAGAAATCAATACATTTTAAAGAAAAGAAAATTTATTAGAGATGTAGTGTACAATTTCGGAGACTTGGGGAGAATTTTGGAGAGTGTTTAAGTATGATGCAATAGAATACCAATATAAGAACACTGGAATGGCTAAAATGGAGAAAAGGCATTGGGGTTAACTATACTCTATGGTAGTGAATGTTGGGTCAACAAAAGCAAAAGATGGGAATAGCACAAATAAGAATGTTAAGATTGATGTGTCAACACAAGAAAGGACCAGATACAAAAAGACGGTATTCAAGGAGAAATTACCAACTGAGGAAAAGAAGACTGAAAATTAATTAAGTTGGTTTGGAAATGTACCAAGAAGGCCACGAGGCACAACTGAATATAGTAGATCGCATGATTTTTAGTCATGTGAAAAAGGAGGAGAGGGAGACACTAAGAAGGCCATTGAAGTTGAAGGAAGTTGTCAAGAGGGATATTTTGAACATAATATCTATGAAGCTCTGATCCTTAATCAACCCAAATGGAATGATCCATGTAACCTCACCTAGTGAGATAAGAGCATAAGGCTTTGTTGATGTTGGAAAGAGCACTCACTAATAAATACACAACATAGGCTCCAAATTAAGACAACACATCCAACATTAACAAAAAATCTAAATATCTGTTTAAAGAAAAAGAGTAGACATGGTGCAATTTATGGACAAGGGAGCACAAGTCTAAGGTCTAAGCTTGAGAAGGTCATACAATTTATGGACAAAGAAAACTACAAGAGAAAACGACTATCATGGGCACATCTCAATCAAGGAGAAAAGAAGATGGAGGATGACAAGAAGAGGAAAACAGTGACAACAATAAATCAGCTCATTGAAGCAAAGAAGCTCTCAAGCTCATTCGAAGATGCCAAGGGAAAGTAACAAAGCAAAATCCAGGAAAATATTTATTCAATGATAACATCTGTATGGTAATAAAGCCCCATGAAAAATAAAAGCACTTCACACCAGCCAAAAACACCAGAGGGCTGCAAAAACAGAAATAAAATAAGGTTTTCCATTCTTTCTTTTCTAGTTTTGATGGAACGAAAAAGTCTGTGACGAAAAGAATCCTTCAAAAACTGATAAGATAAAATACACACAAAAAACTCTAAAGTTAGTCAACATAAAGAACAACTCCAAACTAAGAGGACACGACCAACATTAATAAACAAAAAAATCTATAAACACCAGTTCAAATAAAAAGAATAAAATAGAAGCAGCACAATTTATTGGGCAAGGGAGCATGTGTTTCTAAGGTAAACACATTTCAGAGAAGAGGCTTTAGGAGGCCTACAAACCTGTAGCGTATTACAAGTATTAATCCTATATTTTTATTATGCACCACAGTTCAAGGAAAAGACTAGATCCTTGAAAAATGAAAATTTGATTCCTGAATGTGGTACATATTACATATACTGCCTCTAGATTAATTTGCAATAACATTTTCAGATGCCAAGTTACAAGCACCCAAGCCTCAATTCTCCTTAGGCATACTGCCTACAATGAAAATCCCAACTAAGCATGCGGCCAGAGGCAAAGCTAGACATAAAAATCTTTCTTGCTCTGTGGCAGTAAGCTTAACAATAAAAATAATAATAATAATAATAATCTCTCTGTATAATAGTAATGTTGTTTGAAAGAATCTGATGGGGGCCAAAGCTTCACCAATAATGTGAGGTACCACTTTTGCATGTGGCCTCTTCACTTTCCCACTCCAAACCAAGGAAAACCCCTCACTTAATTTTGTAAAAACCCTCAGATGAAAGAAACATTTCTATCCCTGTAAATACAACAGGCAAAACAAAATTATGAAGAAAGGACAACAGACTGAATTTATAACATTTTGTCATTCATGACATGACAGAACCTGTTTATTTCAGCAGTTCCTTTTACCATTACCTATCTTGCAAATTCGTTCACCAATATTCATCTTCTGCAATAATCCCGAATTCTCCATTCTCTACTCTTCTAACAAACAAATTCATCACAATATTTTTAAGTAAAAAAATTACTCACAATCAATTTCCAAATTTGCAGTTCACTAATCCTCTTCAATTCTTTTCACTTCTCCAAACATACATTCTGCATGTTTGGAAACCCACTAGAAAGCAAGAAATCACACCAATCTAGCAAAAAAACGTAAAAGCTATAACTATTACCTTCTAATTAAAAGTGGAAACCCTCATCTACAACTTGGGACAAAACACACCAGTTATCGGGTTATATCCCTCGTTGGACGTCAACAAATGTTAAGGAATAGACACAACCACCACAAAACATGCCAATTACCACATCTCCACAAAATCCCACCCGCCACCCCTCTACTACCAACGGCTCTAAAACAAAGCAAAAAAAAAAACACCCATGAAATTATCAGGCACAATTACATCCCACAGCGATATCCAGCATTGCAAATCACCTAGTCCAGATACCGTAGCACAAGAAAGGATGTCTTCAAACATTTAATCAATGCTTTCATACAGGTAGTACTCTAGTAGTCACCATTTACATCATCATCGTCACAACATTTTCCCAAAGACGACCCCATTTCACACTACAACATTACTATGCATTTAAAACCCTAAACAAGAGGCGGAAGAGAGATACCTGCAATGCTGATACTCCTGTCTGAGACATTCAAGCTCAGAGATAAGCGCAGGGATCTGAACAACGTCGGCGTGAACCCTCTGAAGCTCCTGAGTCAAGTGCTGCGCTTTGGAAACAAGCTCATCCCTCGCCACAACGAGGTTCTGCGCCTCCCCACGCGCCTGCTGCAGCTCCAGCTTCACGCCCTCCGCGCCCTGCGCCTCGGCCTCCATCTTGGCGATCTTCTCCAGTGTGCCGCGCACCTGCTGCTCGCGCTCGCCCTTAAGCGCCGCCACGTGCGCGTGCAGCATCTGCAGCTCGTGCTGCGCCGCCGCCAGCTCCTGCCGCAGCACGCCGTGCGTCGCCGCCAGGCGCTGGTTCTCCGTCGCCAGGCGCTGCATCTCCGCGTGCTGCG